ATATATATATATATCTCACGTTAAATTAATTTTTGAAATAATTATTTTCACTACACAACGAGAGAATAAATAACAATTTAGTTAAACCAACGTTACCAGTTTTGCGCATTTGAATTGGTAACAACGATGCTTTTGTATAGATACAATTAAACTAAATTGCATTTGCAATGGAATTAGTTAAAATAAATTAGTGTAAAAGAGAATTATTACTATTACTACTACTACTACTACTACTACTACTACTATTACTATAAGCGATACGTTAAACAAAATAGTTTGAATATAACGTAATGTGTAGTATCGAGAGAGTTGTAATAGTTGAACGATTGCTAATTCGTTTCTTTCCTTTCAGGGACGATGATGTAACGGGACTTTCGCTGTCGCTGTGCAGTTAAGCAATGATGTCCGCACAATGCAATCGCTTCGTGCAAAACGCTTGGAAGAAGGAGCTATGTTCGAATTGTTTCAAATTGAGAGAGGAACACGCGTCGAACGAGGACGCGTTAAGATTGTTCAACATAGAAAAAGCATCGTCCAATTTAAAATTAGATAATTTTAAACTTCAGGTAAATATTACTGAATATTCCACTGTGTCTTAATTCTTGATTTATTTTCTGATTTTATTTTCTTGAACGAGAGAAAAATAGTCGTTTTAATTCGACAGGCTCGATATGGCAGCAACTTCTTCCTCCTCCTCCTCCTCCTCCTGTTCCTCCTCCTCCTGCTGCTGCGTTTATTATACCGTTCGATCGAGCAATACAAGGTCGACGATCGAGATAGGATTATAACGATCGTGCCGACTGAAAACTGGGTTGCTCCGCAATTCATAAATGCTTCGACGAATAACCGGAAAAACTTGGCGTATTCCCTCCTGGCACCTGTCGCGTCCGGGCATCGTTCGAATAAGCACTCGAGTATAAACGGGATTGCTAATAATGAATCGTTCGGATGAGAGACACCGAGTACTTGCGCTAATAACGGAATCGGCATAACTCGATAATAAAATATGTTCGTTATCGCAATTACAATAACGACAACGACAATAATAATAATAATAATAATAATAATAATAAAACAAAAACGACTAATTATTTAGATTAACAAACTTAATATCAAATATAATATTAATCAACAAAAATCATGATAATTCAATTATATCATGATCGATTAAACTCATATATATATATATATAAAAATTGTAAACCAAAAATCTTGTCTGAAAACGTATCCTCCTTCTACCACCCCCCACCCCGTACGTTCGCTAACCGACGTTACTGCTAGCAATAAGGGCTGTATGTGTTGTGAGCGTGAACTCAATGGAAGTGGGTCGTCCAAGTGAAGAGTCTCGTTTAAAAATCAGCATCTCATACATATACATTCGGCTTTTGCTGCTGCTACTGCTCCTGTAGTCCCTGAGCGCGCGTGTATCTGTATCTATATATATATATATATATATATATATATATATGCGTTAGAAAACTTTAAAAGAGCAACAGGCCGAATGAGTTCTCATCTTTTTTCATATATACCAACTCGCGGTTCTATTTATCCATATATAAAAATAGTTACATCGTTGCGCGAATATTATACGGCCATCGTGAAAGCATTCGTCGTGAACTTTAAACCTCCGCTACATCCCTCCTACCTCCCCCCCCCCAACCTACGTGGAATTAAAATCGACGTTAATGCGAAGAGATTTATCCTAGAATTTACCTCTCTCATATCATTATAAAAAAGATATTATACGAGATTTTAACGGATATTTCGCGGGGGAGAAACGTTTACCACCGCTCGGGTTGATTTCTAAATGGAATTGCAAATGAAGTTAGATCGAATATACACTTTTCGTGAGGGGTGGAGAACACGGGGGAAGGCCGTGGAAGGGGTTTTATTTTTTTTCCTCTCTATTCTTTTTTTTTTTTTTTAAATCGACCCGGTAGAGGATAAACGTACAACAAAAAAATGGGTAGGAGGCAAATGGGGCTTGTGCGTTGGTTGATCGAAGTCTGATTTTGGCGCTTGTGTCTGTCTGTGTCTCTGTACGTGGAATAAAACTTTAACGAAAAGTTATTCTCTTCGACAGTTATGCGAAGGATTTTAACTCGAAAATTAAACTTTCATTTCATGCCCAGAGATAAGCCGAATGAATTACGTTTTTACGTATTAAATCGTAATCGGTAAAGTTCAATTTCATTTTTTTCCCAACGATAATTAATTTTTATATCAAATATATTATAATTAATAAAAGTTCTCGATGTGTTCTTTAACGACAAGAACGAATTGAAAATAAATTGTCTCTCGAATCGTGGATAAAGTTTTCTTTTTCATAGCCCTTTACGTCATCGTTAGATTTTGATCAAGTATCATAAGTACGTCGAGATAAGTTATTAAGTGAATTGCATATTGTGGTAAAATGGGGGGTTGGGGGTTGGGGCGGGTATAGTACGGGCATTTTGCCCGTAGATCGTAAAACTTCGACGATTCGCGATCTCTCTAATGGTATCTCAAATTATTATCCACTTTCCGTAACACATGAAAATCCGTTGTTACGAAATCGAAACCAGTGAATTTATTAGATTCGATTGGGATTATCCTTGGAATATAATCTAAGGAAACGCATTGGATCGTACAAAAATTGATGTTTCCATTTTTCCTATCGTATATTATGGTTAATCAAAAGTTCCTGCATTTATATATATAATAATATATTTCAGAGAGTGCAATTTTTTTTTTTTTGGAAGTCAATAAAATTACTTTATATACGCGAATAAAATATTAATTTAAAATTGTTTGTTTCACCCTAATATAACTTTTCTTTTTTTTTTGTCCCGACGCAATTTACATACGACATAATAGTAACAATTGTTTAAATAATCGTTCAAATGTTGTTATTTGTTTTTATATTATATATATATCAAATATCATTCTCAGAGTATTCTACGAGCAAAAGAATCAACAACAGCGCAAAAAGATCGAAGGAAAAAGAACGTTGCTTTTCCGGAATCCTTGACCGAAGTTATCGGTTATGGTGGTGACGACTTTCTATCCGAGGATGAAGAGGAAGACGACGTCGAACAGGTGTTGGTTGATTCTTTGAACGCGGAAGAAGATGTGGTACCGGACAGCGAGGAGGAACGTGCTTTGAGCAACTTGACCCGAGCAAATACTAATTTCAATACCGTTACCGCGAATCTAAGTGAAATTATTTCTAACAGCGATAATAACAAATCTTCGACGAGTACAACGTCAACGTCAACGTCAACGTCAACGTCAATGTCAACGTCAACTTCATCGTCATCGTCATCGTCGACGAAAACTTTTGCTTCGTTAATGCTAGGTAGAATTCAAAAGGACGCGGATGGTAAAAAAACCACCCTTCTGGTATCCGTTACACCATTTGGTGGTGACGAATCATTGCCAACCGCTAAAAGGCCAATCGATAGGAAAATCACAGTCAATGGTTTCTCGAACAACACTGCTAAGTCTTCTTCTTCTTCTTCTGTCAATAATTCGATGGATAACAAAAATGAGGTGAGCCTGATTAATTGGTCTTTTCTTTTTTTTTTAAATAATTAACCAATATTTCTAAGTGTTTGGAAAAAATATGATAGAAATATTTCAACAAGTTCGTTGACGGTGTCCGGATTTTTTTACACAGTTCATTGATATTATTTAATATTTTCAATAACATAGTGCATGTGCAGTTGTGGTGACATTTCACCAGAATAAAGTGAAAATATTGTGTACGTAGTAACCATTCGCGAACGTGTTTTAAACTGTAATCAATCTTTTCCCTAATATACTGACCAAATTAAGTTAAAACACAGGTCGTACCTTGCCCGAATGACCCCGTCTACGTTTTATGATGACTTGTTTTTCGAAATAGATTTTAATCGATATTGTCTTATCGAAAAAAAAATAAATCGAAGTAATGTTTCTATATAAAATAATGTTTGTTCGATTATTTTTCTTTCTATCGTATTAAAAATATTCGATATTTGTTTGAAGTATATAAAATTAAATTAAAATAAAAAATTAATGAAATTAATCGACGATATATATATATATATATAACATTTTTACAGATCATGTTGAAAACATCAAAAAAAATTACAACTGAGCGCAAAGATGATAAACGCGAACAGCAACAACAACAACAGCAGCAGCAACAGCAGAACAGCGTATCTCCGAAATTGGAGAAGATAGTTGATATGCCATTGATTACTTCGACAAACTTGATATCCGTGATACAAAGGACGGAAATTGAGGATACCGTGGTTAACGTTGCCGATAAGAATCTCGATAATGTTACTAACAGGTCAGAGTTAGCTGCAAAATCTGAAAAAAAATTAGCCAACATTTCGCGTAGTCCGGCAATTAAAAAAATGGATAACGAAAAGCCAAAGATCGCGATTCAATCGATGCAAAATAATAATAACAATAACAACAATACTATTAGTAATAATAATAATAATAATAATAATAATAATAATAATAATAATAATAATAATAATAGTACGAATTACGAGTTGTCGAAAAATAATGACAAAGAATATCCGATTAAGGATAACGGTGTGGAATTGAATTTAACGTTATTGAAAAAAAATGATGAACGGGAGGAGGAGATTGTTGAGAACGTTGATAGGCCGTTGATCCTTCGTGGTAAGGAAATTAATAAAATCACGGTTGTCGGTGTGGATGAGAAAAAAATGAAGAAATCAACGACGGATTCAGCCGAAGTTAACGTAAAGAAATTTCATTTCGAGGAGAGTCGCGAATCGGCAGGTGAACCAGATGGCAAAGCAGATGAAGAGGAAATCTTGGAACCACCTGCATTGCCACGTAGTCCACCACCATCTATGGAAATGGATAAGATACCTGTAATCGCAACCGAACCAAGGCCGTCTTTTCTTCACGGTTCTGTCAGTATGGACGCAAAATCGAAACCCATGGTACCCCAAAAACCATCTAATTTCGTTGGGACGAAATCGTCTGTTTTACCGAAGAGTGAGCCCCCGTGCAATATTGGTGGTACCAACGTGAAAAGGAATAACGCTAATTACGTTTTACCACCGCCATCGGTACAGAATGTTACCAACAGGACACATCTTCTTTCTAATACAGGTTTGTAAAGGTTAATTTATTAATTTATCATATATTTGTTTTTGTTTGTTGTTGTTTAAATATTCCTATGATTTTATAAAGAAAGAATGATTATTCTGACGTGATATTTTGTTTGTGTACTTTCACATTTAGGCACGGTCAATTCACAAATTTCTAATTCGGCAACGAGACCAATTGTCAAAGAAGAATCGGATAACAAAACCGTAACAACGAAGAAAATAATTACAAATAAAATCGAACAAAACGATCATGTTAATCAAAGAACTGGTTCGTCGTCTAATACGTACGAATTATTTAAAGAAGATAAATCAATTACAACGAGTTCGCGTGATATTGGTGAAGGTACGGACGCTGACGATGATAGTAATACAGAACCCGTTAGATCCGTTAACAATAATAATAAGAGAAGAATGGCACCAAGACCGCCAGAATTGACGGAAGATCTTTTACCGGTGGGTTCTAATTTGTATGCCAGAAATCCCGGGGCTAATTTGAAATCGGATTCACCGGTTGTAAGGGAAAAAGAAAAGAGAGAGAGAGCATCTTCATGTAGTCCAAAATTTAGGAAAGCTGTTTGCGATGTACCGGACCCAACTAACGTTGCATCATCCACTACCACTACCACCATAACCACCACTACCAGCACTACCAGCACCTTTTCTTCATCTCATTCGAACGAGACAACGTCGTCACCTAGAAGGACTATATCCTTGTCGCAGGATAGTTTGACAAATGGTACAGAAACAACGCGGGAGGGCAAGAAACGCGGTAGATCAAGATTTTCGTTGAAGAGATTTCTACGTATGGGTTCGAGAAAGGACGTCGACATGACTACCACCACCAACAGCAGCAACAACAGCAGCAACAGCAACGGGAACGCTTCGAATTCACGTCTCGATGAAATACCGTCTACGCCGCAACCTAAACTCCGATTGGAAATCATTCACCCACTCGAGCTTGATGGTGCTGCAGTCGAAGTCGTGGGAAACGATAGTAGAGTCGGCAGGATCGGCGAGGATCAGACGGATTCCTGCGGTTTTAAGAACGAGCCCACAAAGACGACGCGTTCCATCAATGCTTCTCAACATCAACTGCATACTCTTACTTCGGCTGGTAAGCTTTTCTCAATCGGAATACCCATATACGGTTAAATATTCTGTAACTGTGTTATAGATAGGTTCATAGAAATTTCAGATTTAAAGTTCATTAAAGGTAATTTAATTTTTAAATATTGTTAAGCAATCATTGCGTGTTATACAGTGATATAGAAATACGATGGTGTATCAAGATTTTCGTAAATTCTTTTTTATCGTGTTAGAACGAAACCGCGTTTATTGGATACCCGTGTTGCAGGAAAAGGTTTACGTAATTTATGAATCATGTTATAGGATTACGTGTTACCTATACCTGTTATTCGACAGACATTTTACGTTGTTACTCTACACAAATGTTCGATATTTTATTCATTCTATCGTAAAAATAACAGTAGTAGTAGTATTTTATTTATGTTTGCGTCACCAATGACCCGATCGATGTGTTTGTTCACAGTTAGACCAGGAAAACCACCACCTCCGCCAAGAAATCAATCATTGGAGGAATGGTCTAGAACTGATCAGTCTAACAAACCGGTCAGACCGCCACCGCCGCGTGTCGAAACTACTAACAAGCAACAATTGCATTCGAATAGAAGTGAAAAATCGGTAGGCAAGATGACTCCGACTACTGCAACGTCTTCTTGGCAACCAACAAACGCCGCATCAACAACGGCTACCAGTTCAGACTTGATTTACGCGAATCTGGGTAAGTTCAGGCCCATACAATGTAACTAATGTGACTTCGTCGTGGTTACTTATTTTTCACGCGTACACTTATACCTACCTACCCCCCTACCCCCCCTGTGAATGTTAACAGCCATACTCACAACACGATCACCCCTGACCCCTTCTACATGCGCCAGACGCTTTATAAAAAACAAAACAAAAAAAAAACAGACGAAAAACAGATTAAATTAAACGTACGAATAGGTGTGACGCGATAAACACGTTTTTTTTTTTTTCTTCTACTTTCTTTTATTACTATCGATCAATTAATCTATTTTTTTTTCTTTTTTTTTCGTTTCAACGAAAATAACAAACGATTTTGACACGATTATAATATAATATACTATATTTTTGATTTATTTTTTCTTATCATAATCATCGAATGTGGGGCTACTTCGTGTTCCCTTTTTTTTTTTATTTTTTTTTTTCTACCTATTCGAGATTATGTTGTTTTATAATTAGACGCAAGAAGACGAATTAAATCGCCGTACGTCGTTAGCTTTGTATTATTCTTAAAAAGAAAAAAAAAAAAACAAAAAGCCATTATTAGTTAATTGTTATATAACGATATACGATTTATTATATTATTATATTTAGTACGAGAAAATTTCGTGCATAAAATAATAGTTCATTATATATTCTGTGATACATACGTACATTCACTTACACACATACATACATATATATATATATACATATACATATATATATATACATATAAACATGTATGCAATCAATTCTATATTTTTATCTATTTACATTACACATATGTCTATATATATATATATACACGTACATATATATATACATGTAATACACGTCGTATGTTGTGCTTTTATGAAAGTAAAAGTGGTAGGACGATCAATTAGCATTATCAAAAAGCATGCATACGCTATCCTTTTCTTTTTTTTTTCTTTCCTTTCTCTCTTTCTCTCTCTCTCTCTTTCTCTATTCGCGTTAACGAGGTTTGCAATGAAGAAGAGTTTGAGTATGAAAACAGAGTAAGAGAGAGAGAGAGAGAAAGAGAGAAAGATAAGCGTATCTAAATTTTGTTTTCCTTTTCTATGCAATTATATTCTTATACTCTGTGCTATTGTAATTTACATGGACAATCTTGTGTATATACATATATATATATAAAAATTATGTCGAAGGTCAAGATTTGAGAGAAAAAAAGAAAAGGAAAAAAAAGGAAAAGAAAATGATAGAAACAAAAAAAAAAAACCAGTAAAAAAGCCTGTAACGTTATTCGATTAATGTTTTTTTCTTAAAATCTAAATAAATATGCATTTGCTTGAAAAAAAATAGAAAAGAAAGAAAAAAAAAAAAAAATAAAACAGACATCGGAGAGCTTTATTTTTTCCTTGATTCGAATTCAAACGAGACAACTTTGTCACCTTTTTCTTACCTTCCTATTTTTTAATAATAAACGTCTCGTTTTTTTTTTTCATTATTTTCATTATTACCTTTGCATTGTTTTTTTTCTGCACGTGCCATTTTTTCTTATCGAGCTTTTTTCGAACGATTTCGACGCGACGTTTTTTGGATTTAATTTCTACGAAAGAGAGAGAGAGAGAGAGAGAGAGAGAGAGGACACGAGTGAGAACGAGAGAGAGAGAAAACACCTCGGTGCGCAATGCGTGACGTCCGAACGCCAATGAAAATGGAGCCAAGTTTTTGGTATCGATTATCTAGGATCGTAGTTTTTGGCCGCCAGGCCAAAAGACGAGGAAGTTCTTTTTCTTCTATGGGAATAGGAAAAAAAAAAATAAAAATAAAAATAATAAGAAGAAGACAAGACAAAATTATACCTCTCGTAACGTCTACGAGAAAGTTCGTCGTACGAAATAATTTTATTCCTTTTTTTTTTTTTTTAATGAACAATTACATATATATATATATATTGTTTTTTGTTTGTTTAATTTTTCGATTGACAGATGACTGGAGTATCGTTGTATGAATGCTTATTAAAGCTTGCAAGATAATAATAATAATAATAATGTTTAAAATAATATACAAGAAAAAAGAAACAAAAACAACAACAATGAAAAACAGAATGAAAATGTGCAACAAAATCATTTCCTCATCGGTTTACTCGCCATCAATTTTTTTGTTTGTTTAACAACAACAGCGTTTTGTGTTACGCCAGAGCTCTTTTCTAACTTGACGCTGGGTGCAAATAATTAACGCCGCATGCATTGATTAAAAAAATACATAAGCATTGTGTGTCACTCTGGAATTATGTTATTTAGGTAAAATGGAATGCCTGCCTAATAAAAATAATAATAATAATAATAATAATCAATATCGCCCGAAAAATTGTCTAAAATCGTAGGTTAAAAAAATGATTAAAAAGCGGTACTTGCGTCTACCGTTTAAACAATTTAGAAATAGCGTATAAAGATTGATTTTGATTGATTTTTCGAACATTTAATAATACCAACAAAATTCCTGCGATAAATATTATAATATATTGTAAATTATTGTCATTCGTTTTTGCCATCCCATCGATGATTCACAAAAATTTTCGTTGCCATTAAACGATGTCAAAACGTATAACGACTAAATTAATAATAATTCATTATTCTTTTTATTTTTTCTGTGTTCACGTCATACTCGTGTGACCAAAACAACAACAACAACAATAATAATAATAAATTAATAAATAATAAAGAAATGGAGAAGATTTTGAAAAAATAAGTATTTGTGTATCACGTTAAGAGTAATAATCATTTTCATGATTGTATTTTGTGCCTGTGCCTTGTTTGTCTCACTGTAGTTTTTGCTGATGAACCAAATAGAGTTACGTTATAATTACGCGTTCTAGTGTATGTGTAACATCATATATACATATATATAGAGAGAAATATATACATATACATATACGAGAGATTCATAGATTAGCGTTGAGAATGTATGAACCGTCCGTTATGCGGCTAATACGCTAGTTACTTGTAGTAGCTAGCCTGTTTTGTGACAATGCCTTGTGTCTTGTGGTACTAACCCATGGCGCTTGACGATGGCGGACGTGCCTGCAGCAGCGGAGGATGTTACAGGTGAGGTACGCAGTGCCCTGGCACCCTCGAAACCTCAAAGAACCGCCAGTATGAGGGATCAAGCGACATCGCAATCACAACCTTTGATTAAGAAGCACGGCTCTTCTTCTTCATCCTCGTCGCAAAATTTGACCTTAAACGATTACGAGACTACTACAACCATAACTCCACTTACTTCCGATTCACCGGTAATCAAAATCATTCACTTTAAAAATTTCATCTGAGAATTTTTCTTGATATTATATTTTTCACAATTTTTCTTATCGTTTATTATTCAAGTTTTAATCAAACAAAAGTGTTCGTCGACATTTTTTTACTTTGAAAGGTACATACGGGATTGATTGTTTTATTGTTAAATTTATTCATTTGAAAACGCACGTGAACTTTTGCTTGCCTATTATTAATTATTTTATTAATTATATAATAAGTATATTATACAACATATTTACCGATGTATTATTAACATCGAATGGAGGTATGACTCTCTATAGATTATATAAGTATAGTTATATTTCTTGCAAAAAAAGAAAAACGTATAAAGATTATTATATATATTATACTTATTATAATTAATAAAGTATTTGATGTCAAGCATTCGAATGCTATCAATGTATATTAAATTCCTGTTACGCTTTCGATCAATTCGAGACACGCTATTTTTGTAAATAATTATGAATAAAATATTTTCGAGATATCGTCACACACACACACATTTCTATCTTTCGATGAGATATTGAGAAGATATATAATATTTATGAAATTTTGTTCAAAATCATTTCAGACCTCGAACGATAGTCACGTTTACGAGTGTTTGTCCAGTTCACCGGAATGTGACTCGAGTCTCGAGCTACGTCATGGCAACGGATCCCATCATCCCAATTGCAAGAGGAAATCTGACAGCAGTGTTATGGATCCAGGCGTAGAATTCAAATTCCACCATCACCATCATCATCATCATCATCATCAACCATTCCTCAGGTCAACCTCGTTGCCCTATTGCGGTAGCGAAACGGAAAGCGAACTTTACGCACCCTCATACACTTTCTATACCGGTGACGAGGTATATAACTTTTGTTAATTTTCTTTTCCTTTTTTTTTTTTTTTTTCTATATTTGTTAATTTTCTTTTTCTTTTTTTCTTTTTCTCCTATTTTATTTCAACCTCGTTTCGTTACGTTTCCAGCACTTGCGCTCACAATTAGCTCGTTTTTCGAGACTATAAAATGTGTACAGGTAAGTAGAATAGGTGTAACGCCAGGAAATATACGAAATAAAATTCTGTTATGTTGTTTGATACTAAAATAAAAAAGAAAAATAAATTACAAGATAATTGTACGTAAATGAAAACGTTATATTGATTATTTTTCTAAAAGACGAATTCCCGTATTTGTTTTGAAGGGTGCGGAAGAGGATCAGGATTGGAAGAATAAAGACGACGAGCTTAGGTTGAATCGATTGAGACAAAGAAGAGGACGTAGCATAGTTCATCGTAGTTTAGAAGATAATTACGGTGCCGTGGTAGTGGCCAATCACGAAGCATTAGCACAATTTGTCGAACAAGTAAATATTTTCTACATATTTTAATAAGATTTACACATTTAAATCTTTTAATCATATTTTTCTTACCTTTCTTTTTATTCCGATTTCGTTTTACTACTCTCTCGATCGAACGATCGATTTTTGTTAGAAATCGAAGAAATAGGTCGAATAGGCGAATATGTAATGTAATGTAATGTAAATGAAGTTGCAGGTGAATCAAGTCGCACAAGTACCACCGGGTCCACTTCGTGCCTTGAAAAATTCCAATCCTCGTCTACGCGATTTCACCATAGACGCAAACACGTCCGTTTTCATTGGCAGGCGAATATTCTGCTCGGCTAGTTGGAACGAGCAAAACGTCAGCTTGTGCATCGCGTTCGATCAAGCGATGCACGTGTCAAGAAAGGAATTCTACCTGGCGCCGATAATCGAGTTCATAGAGACCGTGCCCAAAGAAATATCCGAAAGAGTCAGTTTATCTACTGGCAAAGACATGGAAGGTAATTTATTCTACATTTTCTTTGGATAGATAGGTAAAGTGGGTGGTGGGGGAGGGAAAGATATTTTTCCTATACGAAATTTCAAATATATCTATCAAAAAACGATATAATATTTAATATATACGTATAATATTTAAAAACAAATAAATAATATAATTTTATTTTCTTCTAT